ACCATGAGAAAGAATAATATTTTGTTTTTTCAAAAAATCGTGTTTTCAGAGTTTTCGAGCATGTCTCCCTGGACCAACAGCACCTGCATGGCCCGGAAGCTGGTCAGATGCAGATCTCCCTCACCCTCTAAGTCAGGATCTACATTTTAACACACCAGGGGTCTCGTGTGCACATTAGTTTGATAAGCACTGGTGCAATGTTTCCCAAACTTTGGTACTTGAAATGTTCACCAGCTTTCAGTGAATGAGAAAAAGAAAATGACAAACATGTATAATCATATATTTATTCAACTTGAAGAAATGTCCTTTGTTTTGGTGTTACAGGATTCCTTTGCTGACATGTTTACCTGTTCTTTCATGAAATTAAGGTAAAGGGCAATTGGGGTGATTTCCCTAACAGCAAGTTATTTCATACTTTATTGGAACCAGGTGACTTTGAAATGCTATTTACAGCCGGGCGCGGTGGCTCACGCCTGTAATCCCAGCACTTTGGGAGGCTGAGGAGGGCGGATCATGAGGTCAGGAGTTTGGAGGCCAGCCTGACCAACATAGTGAAACCCTGTCTCTACTAAATATACAAAAAAAATTAGCTAGGTGTGGTGGCGGGCACCCGTAGTCCCAGCTACTTGGGAGGCTGAGGCAGGAGAATCGCTTGAACCCAGGAGGTGGAGGGTGCGGTGTGCTGAGGTCGCACCACTGCACTCCAGCCTGGGCAACAGTGCAAGACTGTCTCAAAGAAAAAAAAAAAAAGAAAAGAAATGTTACTTCCTTTATCAAGGATATCTTCTTCACTCCATCTTGCTTTGTCATCCTAAATTTCTCCATGAGTCGTATTTTGATGAGCAAAGCCTATATTTTAGCTTCTTAGGGCTGTCATCACAAAGAACCACAAACTGGGAAGCTTAAAACAACAGAAGTTTACTGTCTCACAGTCTGGAGGCCAGGCGTTCAAATTCAAAGTGCTGGTAGGGTCAAGCTCTCTCTGAAGGCTCTAGGGAAGGATCCCTCCTTACCTCTCTCTGGCTTCTGGTGGTTGCCAGCCATCCCTTGGCACTCCTTGGCTGGTAGATGCATCCTTCCAATCTTGGCCTCCATCCTCACATCTCTTTCTCCCCGAATACATGTGTGTCTAAGTTTCCCTCATCTTATAAGGACACCAGGCAACGAATTAGGGCCCACTGTAATTCAGTATGATGACCTCATCTTAACTTGATTACATCTGCAAAGATCTTATTTCCAAATGCGGTCACATTCATGGGTACTAGGGGTTAGGACTTAAACAGATATTTTGGGGAACACAACTCAACCCAAACAGCCTACAATGAAACAGTTTTAAAGGAAAATATTCTGATAATTCTCAAAATTATATGGCAAATACTGTAATACTGTGCTGTTTTCAAAATGAAGCACAAAATAAAAACATTAAGAGTATATTTTAATAAAAATGAGCACAGAACCAGCAATTTGAGTTGTATTCTTTTCATATATTATTCCCATTGTAGATGGCATAAACTCTAATATATGCAGAGATTTTGTATTAGATTTTTCCTCACTCTCAAACTGCCCCAGCACTTAAAATTTTAAAAGAAATTTCTGGCATTTTCCCACTACATATACTTTTTAGCTCCTTTCTGAACATTGCTGCTTGGCATAAAAATTACTTCCAGTTTGTCATCTCCCAGGTCTCAGATGGCTGAAGCAGAGTTCCTTGGGAAGTCCCAAGCCGTACTAACCAGCCAGGACTTTAAGAATGTAGTGTATCTAATGACATTTGGGAGAATTTTGTTTCATATTCAGATTAAGGGTTACATCCGAAACCTAAGATTTCAATTTGCTTCATGATATTACATAAAGTACAATATTCAAGTGGTGACTTCAAAGCAACAAAAAATGTTCAACACTACTCAGTCTATGGAAGGTGAAATACTGTTTTAATATGTTAAAAAGCATATTAAATGAACACATTAATGAAAGGTAGCTCATTAACAGTACATTTTAGCAGGGCACAGTGGCTCATGCCTGTGATCTCAACACTTTGGGAGGTGGAGGCATGAGGATCACTTGAGCCCAGGAGTTCGAGATGACACTGCAACAGTGAGAGACCTCGTCTTGACAAAGAAAATTAAAAAAAAAAAAAAAAATTAGCCAGGTGTGGTGGCATGCACCTGTGGTCCCAGCTGCTCAGGAGGCTGAAGTGGGAGGATTACTTGAGCTAGGGAGGTGGAGGCTGCAGTGAGCCATGATTGTGTCACTGCACTCCAGTCTGGGTGACAGAGTGAGGACCTGTCTCCAAAAAAAAAAAAAAGATTGAAAAAAAAAAAACCAAAAAACAAAAACCCAGTACATTTCATGCACTGGCCCTTGATTTTTTCTCATCCCTCTGTCAAGCTACACAGAGCCTCCTTTTACAGAAGAGCAAATGAGCACAGAGTACAAAGGAGTTTAAAGGTTAGGCAAACATTCCTTCACCAGCTCAGAGGCAAATATCCAGAAGGGAGCCTGACTGTTTCACTTTTAAGGAACAATGCCATATAAATATGGCCACTGATATGTCCAAGTGACAGCCTAGGACTTGGTTCTAGGTGACTTTTACTTCAGCTTGGCAAACTTCAACTGTCCTGCTTGCTCTTTCTAAAGCCCATTTTCTTTTTTTGAGAGTCTCACTCTGTCATCCAGGTTGGAGTGCAGTGGCGCAATCTTGTCTCACTGCACCTTTGCCTCCTGGGTTCAAGCAATCTCATGCCTAAGCCTCCCAAGTAGCTGGGACTACAAGCGTACCACCATGCCCAGGTAATTTTTCGTATTTTTAATAGGGTTGGGGTTTCGCCATGTTGGCCAGGCTGGTATCGAACTCCTGAGCTCAAGTGATCTGCCCCCTCGGCCTTCCAAAGTGCTGGGATTACAGGCGTGAGCCATCACGTCTGGCCTCATTTTCTATTTATTAGTTTCTACTAGTTTTTGATTAATTTCCTCTATTAGAAGAAAAGATTCAATTCAGAATTGCAAAGTAAAAACATACTTGGAAGTTATCATGAAATAAGAATACTAATGGTTAAAGCCTTATGATCAGAATGCAATCAATCTGTGAAGCTCAAAAGTTCAGTTAACTGTGTCTGAAGTGGAGATGCCAAAGATATGCTCTGTTTTATCAGTTGTTATCATTGTGTAAACGAAAAATGAAACATAAAAGGTCCTTTCTTACTGATTCATGACCCCCACTTGCTTTTCTTCTTTGGACATTCCACCCTTCCCTTGTGCTCTGTGCTCCTTACTCAGGTTAAAGAAACTCAGCGTGGGCTAAAGAGCACTTGAAAATAAAGAAGTGCAAAGATGCAACCAAAAATTGCTAAAGAGCATGTTTTCCTTACATTTCTGACTGTGGTTCTCTACAGGAAGAACCAGACCACTGCCATTTGCAGAAGCATTTGCAAACACTTGTCCTGATGAAGGCATCGACTTACTGGAGGATTTCCTAAGCCTTCTAGGAACAGATGTCATGCCCCTGTGTCACCAAGAACAGGGCAGTACCAGTCACAGGAGTCACTCACTGAAGGTGGACCAAAGGCACTGTGACCCCAGCATGGAAGCCCTTCCAAAAGTTCCCATTTTTTCTTACAAGACAGACTCACGCCTTCCTCAAGGCCCTCTCCTCTCTGTCTCCTCATCCATCTCTCCAGCGTGGTGCTCAAAACACACCCTTCTTGAGTTGCCCTTCCCACAGGCCTGAGATGTTCTGTGTGTTGCCTGGCTAATGCCTCCCCGACACCCCCTGTCTGGGTCACCTTTCTTTCTAACACACTTTCACGGACCACACTCCTTAAGAACTCTTGGCTGGTTTTTAATTATTCACTCATTAGTATCACAATTGGATGAATACTGCATTCCCTCAATAGACGGTACGCTCCATGAGACTAGAGCCGTGTCTGCTGTCTTTCTGCAGGACTTACAGCCCTCCCAGCACGGTGCCCGCTTCCCTGATGCCATTCCACAGTATTTGTTGCCGAGAAGGAGGCAGCACGCCAGGACAGATGGAGACAGGACTAATTTGGCTTGAGGTATGTAATTTTGAACTTGAGCCTCTCTCTGGGACTGTAAAACTCCAAATCAAAGTCTTAATCTGAGAATACACACATCTGAAAGACTGATTAGGGACTGGTAAACATCTATTAATATTCAACTCTGAAAGAAAGTACAAGTTGTTTATTCTTACCACGCAAGGCCAAAAAAGGGGAGGAAAAAAAAAAAAAAAAAAACACCACACAGTATATGCACTGGGAAAGCTTTCGCTTATTCAAAACAGTATTTGTCGAGCACCTCCAGGTCTGGGTGCTGCAGGGGAAACAAAGATTAAACAGCCAAGGCTTTGCTTCCAAGGTGCTTACTGTCTTAAGGATACAAGGCATGTTTATAAATAGCCAAAATGCAACTCAGAAAAGACTAAAAAACACTGAGAGGGAGGGAGAAATAAACGAAGAGGTCTCCGGAGGAAGAGATGAATTAGTCTATCAGAAACTCCTCACCGTAATCCCAATGTAAAGCAAGGAATTCCAAACCAGGAAAGGTCAAACTGAAGTATTTGAGGAACACAGGCGTCGCCCTAAGCCCTTCACACGGCTCGCTGGGGATAATATAGCAGCTGAAACGGAACATCAAGCTGGCTTTCCAAACCTTCAGTTATTTACATTAGACTGAGAGGGGAAAAGCGCTAACAGTGCAGGCGCAGAGAAAGAGCAAGAGGAAACTTGAAAAGGCGGATCACTCCAATGCGCTGTGCACAGCCCCGCCCGCGCCCGGCGCACCCGCTACCCCACCCGAGCTCTCTGCGGCCCGCGTCCCCCATCTCGGTCCTAGGCCCAGACACTTCCGAGACCCGTCCCACGGCTCCGGCCGGCGCCACCGCCACCCTCAAGACCCCCGCAGCCCAAGCCCGGCCCCGCGCCGGCGACGCCCCCCGCGGCCCAATCCGCGCGCCCAGCCAGCCCGGGCCTCGTACCGTAGGTTTCGGACATGGCCGTCTGCGACATCTTGGGAGCGGCGCCGCCTCTCGCCGGGTCACCGGCTGCACTCGCCCGCGGTCCGCTGGCGCGTCTCGCTGGGGAAGAACCTGGGGCGGGAGACCGGAGGAGGGAGGGGCCCGACCGGTCCCCACGGCAACCGCCGGCCTCCCAGCGGCTGCGGCCCAGCCGGACTCCAGCTCCGCGCAGGCGCAGGGACCTCCACCCTCCGTCCGGCCGCGACCGCGAGGAGGAAGAGGAGATGGGCTACCCGAGGCCCGGCCCACGCCGCGTTCGCGCGTGCGCACGGGGAGGCGGGGGCGGGGCGCATGGGGACTTCGGCGCGCGCCGGAAGCACGTGCGCGGGCTGGGTCCCCTGGCTGTGTGCGCCGAGGCTGGGCGAGCGGCGGGTGGGGGCGTTGCGGGCTGAGTCCCGATTTCCCTCAGGGAAGGCCGGGTAGAGGCAGGCGGTGGGCAGGTTTGGGGGTGACAGAGGGCTGGGGACAGTGGGGTCCAGTTACCGAACAGAGGAGGAAGGTGCCTGCACTGGGGAGGAAAGCAGTCCATTTGCCACACTGGCCCGTCTCAGTTAAAGACATTGTCTTCGGTCATCATCTGAGGCTGTCAGCCAGGAAGAAACTTCCCTGACGCAGTTACGATCGAGGCCAGAACTTGGTTAATGTGTAACAAGGGGGCAGTAGGCCCCAGGTGTCCAGCCAGAGGCCGCCCTGTGAATGGGAGGCGGGTTCATTTACCCGTTGGGAAGCTAAGCTTTCACTCCAAACTGCCCGGCCCTCTTGAATGGAGCTGAGCAGGTGTGGGCAGAATGACAGAAGCTCAAGATGCCCAGATGCTGAAGGGTCATCGCAAGACTACAGACAGCAGCCTCTCCACATCCCATTTTAGAGGGTTCTGGATTACGGCTGAGAACTATCTCCTGGCCCCCAGCTGGGGATGTGTTTCCAAATTTAGGAGTTTTTTTGTTTTTATTTTTTAACAGGGTCTGGCTCTTGTCAGCGCAGCCCTGTCGATTCTCCCACCTCAGCCTCCTGAGTAGCTGAGGCTAGGGGCACACAGCACCACACCACGCCAATTTTTAAATTTTTTGTACAGATGGGGTCTCGTTATGTTGCCCAGGCTGGTCTTGAACTCCTGAGTTCAAGCATCCTCCCTCCTTGGCCTCCCAAGTTGCTGGGATTACAGGCGTGAATCATCTCACCTGGCCTTGGATAGTTTGGTTTCAGAAGCAAAACTGAGTTAGAATCCCCTTCTGTGGGAAATGTAGAGATAAACATTTATGGGAAAGAGAATTTTGGTTGAGGATTTGGCCCATCTGAGCTTGATCAGGGCCACATAGCGCCTCATAGTTCCCAACCTTGTTCACAATAGGTTGTCGAATGCTCAAAATATCCCTGGCTAAGCTCCCAAGTGACCTGGACTGTGTGGAAAATGCCAGTACAAAGTTTTTTTTTTTTTTCCTGAGTCAATTTGGCTCCATCCTCCACATTGGCATCAGAGCTTCCCTCTTCCCCAGGGGCTATTTGGGTCGGTATTTTTCTCTTCTTTCCCATCCTAATAACAAATAAATGCAGTTTTTTTTCTAAACCACAGAGAAGGCCCCATGGTGAAAGGTTGTGAGAGCTGCAATTTCCTAAAATTGTTTTGTATATATTTCTTGTTCAATGGCTCAGATCATTTTTTGCTTTCTTGTTTGGTTCTCTGCATGTTGTGTTTGATTTAGGCTCCTGAGTATAGCAGATTGGTTCTGATTAAAACCATTTCAGAGGAAAGACAGTGATCCCAGGAAGTGGGAAGAAAACAGCATCACCTGAAGTCTTTCCTATTCGTTAGATGTTTTCTTCCTGCGAAAAACCACTATGTACAAGAAAGAAGTCAGTGAGCTGCAGTGATAGTGTTATTGACTGAAACTGGACCAGAGATCCCTGAAATCTGGACAAGGTGGTAGAAATACAAATTATGCTGCCACTTCAAAGCTGTGGGCAGTTTTCTACTTTGTGGAGGTAGGCCTTTGGGAAAGACTGTTTTGGAAAAACCACCTAAAGAGACCATTTAGTTTGCAAATGTAACTGCAGTATCACAATTGGAAGAAGAAATATGCAAGGGCGAGGTTTGAAGGAGCCGTTCAGTTCAGTATCCTAGAATGATACTATGGAAGGTTCTTTGCATCTTACTAACTTTGGGTCTTTGAAAGAAAACAAATTTCTTCAAAATGTTTTTAGAGACTGCTTTGATTCTGAGGCACTGCTGATTATATGGAAGAAAAAATTATTGCAAAATTAATTTGTGTTTTCTCCAGTTATCATCTCCTTTCTCTTTGGGGGAGGTTTGTGACAGAGTAAAAACAGATATACAAAAGCCTAGACATGTTGGAGATTTGTCTAAGGGAAATGTAATTATGGAGAAGGATTTTTTTGAGCTGAAACTAGATCCCACTTTTTTCCAGGTCAGTGGTCCTTCAAGTATCTGATACTTTCCTTCCTGCTTCCTGACAATGCTAAAGGATGTGGCAGGACCTCGCATTTAATGCCCAACGTGAAGAGCCCTAGGGCTTGATGCATGGGATTCTTGGAGTGAGGCCTGGTGGAGGGCACTGGTCACAGCCTCGGTGGAATGGTGACTCTCTTTGGTAACTGGAATTGAAGAAAATGAGTGGACTTGTGTCTGAGCACTTGGGAACTCAGCAATCCTTGGGTGTTACCTTGAGAAGGAGCCACGTTCTGGACATACAAGTGGAGACTTGAAACTGGAAGCTCAATTCCATAGCCAGGCTGGTGGAGACTATGACATGTAACTCACATCTTCAAGAAAGTAGAGACCTCAGAGGTCACTGGGCCACTTTACCTTCCACTGTCAAAAAAACTATGTCTGTGATCAGATACCCCTGTTGCTAGGGAATATTTGTCAGAATGGGCTAGATTAACTGCAGTAATGCAGATCTCTCAACCCATTTATGACTTACACAGCAAAGTTCCTCACTCAGACTACCTGTCCACTCCCACTAGCAGAGACTTGCTCATGGGCCCTCCTAGACCCAGGCTGACCGAATGTGTTTTATCTAAACACACCTCCACAGTCACTCAGGTAGGAGTGGCAATGCACTAGGACCAATTGTGCATTAGCTAGAGAGGCACTTACCAGGAATTAATTGCTATAAGAACTTGTATTTACATTTTGTGGGCTAAAGCAAGTCATGTGGCAACGCTTAATTTCAAAGAGGACAGGAAATGCAATATTATTGTGTCCCTGAAAGAAAGGAGAAGAGAAAGTCTGTGGAAAGACATTATGGCTACCACTGGAATTTTCACCCGTCCAGGCACCTCACCGTGCTTTTATTTGAAACAATTTTATTGAAGTATAATAGGCATAACTGCACATATGTATATATGTATGTATTTTATTTTTTGAGATGGAGTCTTGCTTTGTTGCATAGGCTGGAATGCAGTGGCATGATCTCAGCTCACTATGATCTCTGCCTCCTGGGTTCAAGTGATTCTCCTGCCTCAGCCTTCTGAGTAGCTGGGATTGCAGTCATACAGCCACGTACCACCACACCTGGCTAAGTTTTGTATTTTTAGTAGCAACGGGGTTTCGCCATGTTGGCCGTGCTGGTCTTGAACTCCTGACCTCAGGTGATCCACCTGCCTCGGCCTCCCAAAGTGCTGGGATTACAGGCGTGAGCCACGGCGTCCGGCCTGCACATATTTAAAGTGTACATTTTGATAATTTTTGATATATGTGTACACTTGTGCTTGCTGCTCCAGGAGACTGCTATTTCTAGGCCTTTTCTGTGGACGGAGGCATTTTTGTGATTGTTTTATCTCATTTATTGCTTAGGACAAATAATTTCTTGTGAGTTTTAGTGGTGGTTTTGGGGTTGATAGTATAGGTGTTTATCACAGTCCACCTCCAAGTGGTAATACACTATACAGAGTGTAAGAAACAACCATTTACCTCCATCCTCCCTCAGCATCTGTGCTGAGGATGTTGTACTTCTACATATGTTGTACACCCACATACATTGTTATTGTTTTTACTTAATAAGCTACTGATTCTCTCTCTCTTTTCCTTTCAATTGTGGTAAAATAGACATAAAATGTACCATCTCCCCATCTTGAAATGTACAGTTCAGTGGCATTAAATACATTCCCATTGTTGTGCAACCATCACCACCATCCATCTCCAGAACGCTTCATCTTGCAAACCTGAAACTCTGTACCTGTTCAACAATAACTCCCCAATTCACTTCTCCCCACAGTGCCTGGCAACCACCATTTTACTTCCTGTCTCTAGGAATTGGCCTCTCTAGATACAGTACCTCATATAAATGGAGTCATACAGCATTTGTCTTTTCCTGACTGTCATATTTCACTTAGCATAATACCCTCAAGATTCATCTGTAACATTGTAGAATATGTCAGAATTTCCTTCCTGTTTAAGACTGAATAATATTCAATACTTCGTACGTATATACTGCACTTCCAGCCAATTCTTTTCAATAGATTTAAACGATAAGAAAAAAGTATTTTATATTTACTCATGTAGTTACCATATCTAGGATTCCTTATTCTCTTGTGCAGATTAGATTTCCATGGTCTCATTTCCCTTTTGCCTGCAGGGCTTTCCTTAACAGATCTTGAAGTGTAGATCCGCTGGTGACTAATTCTTTCAGCTTTTATATATCCAAAAAAGTCTTTATTTCACTTCTGTGTTTGAGGCTATTTTTGCTCAGTTTTGATTTTTAGAGTTTTCAATTTTTTTTTTTTCTAACGTGAAGATACTGTTTTAGTGTTTTCCGGCTTATTTTGTTTCCGATAAGGAGTCAACTGCCATTCTTATCTTTATTTCTTTCATGCAATGTGTCTTTTATCTCTGCTTGGTTTTAAGATTTCATCTGTATCACTGGTCTGAAGCAATTTGATTATGATGTGCCTTGGTGTTGATTTTCTTTAAAGTTCTTGTCCTTGAGTTTCACTGAACTTCTCTGGTCTTTGAGTTTATAGTTGCTATCAGATTTGGAATTTTTTCAGCCATTATTTCTTAAAATATTTTTTCTGCCCCTGCCTCTCCTTTCCTTTGGCGATTCTACTGCACAAAATACTAGGTCACTTGAATTTGTCTCACAGCTAACTCAGGCTTTGTTCATTTTTTGTCAGTCTTTTTTCTTTCTGTTTTTCATTTTTGTGTAATTCCATTGCTGTGTCTTTAAATTCACTCATCTTTCCTATAGTATCTAATCTGCTGTCAATTCCATCCAGCGTAATTTTCCTCTCAGGCATTGCTGTTTCACCTGCAGAAGTTTCACTCGGTGTCTGGACCTACATTCTGGTTTCCGTGTTTAGTAATCACGCTCTCAGGCCCTCCTCCAGCTTCTTGAGCATATGGAACATGTGTCATTTCTACTAACTTTATCATCTAAGTCATTTCTGAGATTGTTTATATTGATTGGCTTTTCTCTTCATTGTAGGTAATATTTTCCTACTTTACAAGCCAGATAATTTTTTATTGAATGCCAGACATTAACAAGTTTACTTTGAGATACATATAACGTTTATTTTTATAAATATTTTTGAGCTTTGTTCAGGGGTGCAGATAAGTTCTTTGGAAAGAGCTTGATGCTTCAAATCTTGTTTTTAGGCGTTTTTGGGGGGTGGGCCCTGAGCAGCATTCTACTCAACAAGTCCTTGAGTTATGAAGGTTTTCACCATGATTGGCGGAATTGGGAGTTCCTCTGGGCCGTGCATGAGTGCTTGGGATTGTTTTCTGTAATATTTGCAGGTGATTCTTTATCTGGCATGGGGTAGGAGTGCCTACCACGGTAGGAGAAATGCAGGTATTTCTTCACTTGCCTGCACTGCTCAGTAGAAGACTCGAAGGGAACCCTCTGCAAACCTCTGGCCCTCTCTCTGTCTCTCTGTCTGTACAACTCTGGGCAACCCCCAGCTCAGGGAGTGCTGCTTCTTCCTCCCGTCTGACTCCAGAGCTCAGTCTGTGGCACTCTTTCTCTGCAGTCACTTACTTGCTCATTCATTTCATCTGGTCTTAAGGCTTTCAATACGATCTAAAGCTGATGATTCCTTAATTTCTAGCTTGCCTAGGCTTCTGTGTACAATTGCTTACTTGATACGTCCACTTGAATGAATGCCTATCAGGCTTCTTAATACTAACGAAATAAAAACCAAGGGCGGGCACGGTGGCTCATGGCTGTAATCCCAGCACTTTGGGAGGCCAAGGCGGGTGAATCACGAGGTCAGAAGTTTAAGACCAGCCTGGACGATATGGTGAAACCCCATCTCTACTAAAAAATACAAAAAATTAGCCAGGCATGGTGGCGCGCACCTGTAGTCCCATCTACTCAGGAGGCTGAGGCAGGAGAATCGCAGGAACCTGGAAGGCAGAGGTTGCAGTGAGCCAAGATCATGCCACTGCACTCCAGCCTGAGCGACAGAGCCCAGACTGTTGCTCTGGACGAAGCCATTCCGTCTCAAAATAAACAAACAAACAAACAAACAAACAAACTAAACATCCAGATTTCTTGACCAAACTAGTGCCTTCAGCAATTTTTTGTATCTCAGTAAATGGCAGTTTGCCAGTTGTATTAGTCAGGGTCAGGGTTCTCTAGAGGGACAGAACTAATAGGATACGTGTATATATGAAAGGGAGTTTATTGAGGAGAATTGATTCACACGATCACAAGGTAAAGTCCCATGATTGGCTGTCTGCAAGCTGAGGAGCAAGGAAGCCAGTGGTGGATCAGTCCAAGTCCCAAAACCTCAAAAATAGGGAAGGCAACAGTGCAGCCTTCTATCTGTGGGCAAAGGCCCCAGAGGCCCTGGCAAACCACTGGTGTAAGTCTAAGAGTCCGAAAGGTGAAGGACTTGGAGGCTGATGTTCGAGGGCAGGAAGCATCCAGCACAGCAGAAGGATGAAGGCCAGAAGACTCAGCAAGTCTGCTTTATTTTAGCCGCTCTGGTAGCTGATTAGACGGGGCCCACCCAGATTGAGGGTAGGTCAGCCTCTCCCAGTCCACCGACTCAAATGTTAATCTCCTTTGGGAACACCCTCACAGAGACACCTAGGAACAAAACTGTGAATCTTTCAATCAAGTTGACACTTAATATTAACCATCACACCAGGGCCAAACCTTGGAGTCCTGCCTGACTTCTTATGCCCACATTTGATCCATCAGCAACGCCTACAGGCTGTACTGTCAGAGCATCCAGAATCTGCTTCTGCTACTTGCACTGCCCCCCCACCCCCGCCCCGGTCACCTCCTGCATCAGCCCGCCTCACCTCTCTCCTGCCTTTTGCAGCGACCTCCCCTTCCTGCTTCTATGCTTGTCTCCCTGTGTCGTCTTTTCTCAACACAGCTGCTAGAGCAATCCTATTAAAATGTAAATAAAACCAAAAATAAATAACACTTCCCCTTTAAAACAGCCAGTGTTGCCTGTAATCCCAGGACTTTGGGAGGCCAAGGTGGGTGGATCACTTGAGGTCAGGAATTTGAGACCAGCCTGATCAACATAGTAAAACCCTGTCTCTATTAAAACTACAAAAATTAGCTGGATGTGGTGGTGCACGCCTGCAATCCCAGCTACTTGGGAGGCCGAGGCAGGAGAATCTTTTGACCCTGGGAGGTAGAGGCTGTAGTGAGCCAAAACCATGCCACTGTACTCCAGCCTGGGTGACAGAGAGAGATTCCATCTCAAAAAAAATAAAATAAATAATGGATCTCTTATATGCCACCACGTGATTGTGGGAAGGCTATAATAAAACTAGAGTATCATCTAATACTAGTATAATTTATTGAGTACTTGATAAACACTAGGTATAGTGCTAAGTGCTTTACGTGTATTATTATTATTATTTGTTGTTGTTGTTGTTGTTGTTTTTTGAGATGGAGTCTTGCTCATCGCCCAGGCTGAAGTGCAGTGGCGCGATCTTGGCTCACTGCAAGCTCCGCCTCCTGGGTTCACGCCATTCTCATGTCTCAGCCTCCCGAGTAGCTGGGACTACAGGCGCCCACCACCACGCCCGGCTAATTTTTTTTTTTTTTTTTTTTTGGTATTTTTAGCAGAGACGGGGTTTCACCGTGTTAGCCAGGATGGTCTAGATCTCCTGACCTCGTGATCCGCCCGCCTCGGCCTCCCAAAGTGCTGGGATTACAGGAGTGAGCCACCGCGCCCGGCCGCTTTACGTGTATTATAAAACCTAATCCTTACAACAGATTTATAAGGGAGGTATTATCCTAT